TGTGTCGATTTCTGTTATTGTGGCCAAGTCTTATTGTGCATTGGAAGTCGCGGTTGTCTGCCATACATGAGCGAGAAGGGTGATTTCTTGGTTGTTCCTTGTATGGAGGAACGATGCGCCAGCAACATCAATAATAACTCTTTCTCCCAATCTCCTCCTTCAGATCATTCGTCAAATATCTTATATATTTATATATATATATATATATATATATATATATATATATATATATATATATATGTATATATATATATATACATATATATATACACTTTATTGGGATTTTCGTGTACTTAAATTCCTTGTTTAGGGTGATCCAGGTGAGAAAGGTGAACCTGGAAGACAAGGTATGGATGGTGAACGAGGATTGCCTGGTATCGATGGTGAACGTGGTGATCCTGGTGAATCTGGTCTTGGAAGGCGAGGTCTACCAGTTAGTTCTATTTTTTATAATACATATATAATCGATTATCTTAAAAAATTATGCATCTTTTTGTATCAAATTTTATCTGTTAGATTTTTTTTTGAAGTATCTATTTAAATATAAATCTATTTCATTATCTTCAGTCTTCAGGTTAATAACACCATTTTATACTTGCTATCATCCTTGAATGATTTTTAGCCTTTTACTATAACTGATCTTGTTAATTTTCTTTCTCTGAATTTTCATTTTATCATTTTTTTAACACAAGACATTACAACGTATAAATTAACATACATTTATTCCAAGTCCTACCTACACATTGCCCATCACTAATTGAATAGCTGAGATTCTCATTTACTTATCTTTTATTTGAAACTGTATACTAATTTCATGAAATTAAAACAGGTCATTAATGCATATACTATTCTCAATACTTACTTGTATGTGGTGCATGTATAGTCTCTACGGTGCACACAAAGTTTATATTATTCCTCTTTAAAAATTTAATCACTTTTATCTTTTTATACACACACATCAGCTAGTTGAGTTTTGTTTTCATTTTTAATTTTTATCGATTATTTAGGGCCCTAAAGGAGAACCTGGTAATGTTGGTCCTAAAGTGAGTTTTAATTGTTTTTTTTTAAAAAAATCATCACATTTTTTTTTCGTTATAAATTCCACTGATTTCGGTGTAACTTATCTATCAATCTTTCTGGGAAATAAGATACCATCAGATGTCGTCTGAATTGTTTGAAATTGACGTATTGTAATATATCATTGCTAGTTCTTAAAACTGCATCATTATCGACAACCAAGGTGGATCCGATGCAGATGTGAGGGCAAGGATTAGCAAAGCAAGTGCTGAATTTCTACTGTTGAAAAATATCTGGAACGCCAAACAACTTTCAACCAAAACCAAAATCACGATTTTCAATACAAATGTCAAAACAGTTCTACTGTATGGAGAGGAAACATGGAGAACTACGAAAGGCATCATCCAGAAGATACAAGTGTTTATTAACAGCTGTCTACGCAAAATACTTCGGATTCGTTGGCCAGAAACCATCAGCAACAACGAACTGTGGGAGAGAACAAACCAGATTGCAGTAGAGGAGGAAATCAGGAAGAAGTGGTGGAAGTGGATAGGACACACACTACGAAAAGCACGTAACTGCATCACGAGACAAGCCCTCGCCTGGAACCCTGAAGGCAAAAGGAAAAGAGGAAGGCCAAAGAATACATTACGCCGAGAAATAGAGAAAGGTATGAGAGGAATGAACAAACATTGGACAGAACTGGAGAAGGAAGCCTAGGACAGAGTTGGTTGGAGAAAACTGGTGAGCGGCCTATGCTCCATTGGGGGTAACAGGCGTAAGTAAGTAAGTTCTTAAAACTATGAACAAACTTGAAAGAAGAGTAATTATTAGTGAGTTAAAGTAAGTATAAAACGTTTGACTTTAGAAGTATTATTTTCCAAACAATTATAATGGTTTTGTATTTGGAGATTTCCCTACAACTCAAAAACTGAATATATATATGTAGGATTAATAAAGTCGTTATCGTGGTGTATGCCTAATATGTAATCATCATATATTAATTATCCTTAAGTAAACCAATGAATTTCAGGATCTTTTTTTCTTCACCAAATGCATCCAACCATTGATTTTTGAAATGTTATTGAATATTCAAAATAAAGCTATGTATCCCACTAGATTAATAGTGTTAAGAAGATTAGACTAGACTACTGATTATCTCATTTTTTTTAAAGTAATCATTTCAACTTCTGTTCATTTCAGGGTGATGATGGTATTCAAGGTGAACGTGGTGACCCTGGATTGCCTGGATTAGAAGGAGATAGAGTAAGAAATTGTCAAAAATTTATCTTTCTTCGTAATTTTTTTCTATTTAAAAATGATTTTGGTCATATAATTAAAAGTTCTGAACAACTAACTGTTTTATTCTACTTTTTAAAAGTTATCTTCATTTGGGTCAGAGTTTTGGAGGTTTGCGTTTTTACACATTTGAAATCATCAATCAGTCATTGTTAGACCACCATTAGAAACCTAGAAGCACTGGAAGGCCGTTTCGTACTGGTATGGGACTCATCAGCAGTGCGCATCCATAACTCCTGCTCCTCGCCTTCGGCATTGTAGGCGAACGCCTTATCATCGGACCACTGAGCCGGCATCCAACGGTGTTAATGTCTAACTCTGATTGATCTAGGGATTTCGCGCGACCTCACCGATTTGTCATTGGTAGTTACTACCTACACCCGACAGGGTTGAACTCCATTGGTCACGTCTTCTCAACTAGAACTCCGAGAATTTCCTCACGAAGCTAGTGACTAGTGAGCACTGTTATGATACTTTGGATCAGAGTTTTGGAGGTTTGCGTTTTTACACATTTGAAATCATCAATCAATCAGTGTTAGACCAACATTTTGTAATCAGAAAAGATCACTAAAATATGTTATTGATTTATTCAATAGTGTAAAAAAAACTATGACAGAATTTGTCATAGTTACATGGTTTTTCACAATAATAAACGATCCTTATTAGTTGGTGTAACGTCTATTTTACATAATTAACATTTTTTTTAACTGGTTTAAAGTTTCTACAGTAAAAACAGAATATTTTTCACAGTCAATTGTAATACTATTCTTGAGAAGACTGAGGCAGGCTCGGAAGATTGTATTATGCAAATTAACACTCTGCGTCAATTAAAAACGAAAACATTACATTGAACACTCACTCTATTTGCACACCATCTTTGAGTCTTGGCTTCCAACGCTCCATCCTTCTTCCAATCCTGTTGTTGCTTTCTATCCATCTTGTTGGTACTCCATTTACTTCTTGCTTTTGCTGCATTTGCTTTCCGTTTTCCTCTTCTGACCATGAGACTTCTTCATTCACGTCCCTATTTATACTACTTATATCGTTCGTATAAGTAGCACACACCACATTCTTTTTCCTTCAGTCATAATTTTACTTAACATATTTAAGCTCTATTTTTTTTTAAAAATCTGTTAAGAATATATAAATAAACTCAGAAACACAACAATTGAAGTAGAATAAAATACGACTTTATTATTTTTTTTTTATGATTTCTTGTCAACTGCTTACAACCATATACATAAAATTGTCAAGAATAATTATTTTTGGATAAGTTTAAAGTATATTTCTGTGTGTATTTCAATTCTCTATATTTTTAAAAATAAATCTCAAGTTTATTTTGTATGGTTACTTAACTTAGATATAATTAATTTCTTTCAAAAAAGTTAATTTTTCAAAAATTTTTTTTATCCTTTTTAGATTCATTGAATTTTGATAAATTATTGTTTGTTTATTCTCTGCTTGATTTAACTCAGATTGAATTGTTCATAAAGATTGTGCTTGATAAATGCTTGAATGAGCACATTTTCAAAATGTATTTATTATCTTACATTTTTCATAATATGTATGTATTCTAAAAACATATTCTTCAATAGAATATAATTTTTAACATTTTTTTTCTTTTTAAATTTTCATTAAAAGGGTGAAGATGGTGATTTTGGTATACCTGGTGAACCTGGTGAACCAGGAGAAAGTATCATTGACACTTATACACCTGTAAAAGGTGCTCCAGGTGCACCTGGAGATCCTGGAGATCCAGGCAGAAATTGTTCAGTTACTACATTAGAACAAGGTCGAAAAGCTTTGATTGGACCTCCTGGTGATCGGGTATGTGTGTGTGTGTGTTATGCTTGATAAATTTTTTATTTAGTTTATAAAAAGTAGTTATCTGTCACTGATTTGTGAAATGTTATACTTCTCATCAATCATATTCTATTTATTGGATTAAGGGATAAGATATACAACAAACCGATTGAAAAAAAGAGATAAGCTAAATCTTATTCTCATTACTTTGTATGTTAGTCATGACAGTCATCAATCTATATCGACCATTTATGAACTTGGCTTTTACCATTATCTTATTATATAATCAGTAACTTTGTTTTTCCTGTTCCACTTTTTTTTAATTTGTATTCGATCGATAATGAAATGCCTAAAATCATAATAAACAAAAAATTTTTATTGATCATTTTGTTTCTATTATTATTTTTTTTTAATATTCATAGGGTGATACTGGTCCTAAAGGTTATCCAGGTCCTAAAGGAGCGAAAGGAATAAGAGTAAGCGCATAGATAGAATTAGATATATCTTTTATTAATTATAATTGACTTATTTTGTGGTGTGAGCTACTTATAAGTAGTAGTATATGACGTGAGTGTCAACGTAATGTCTGGTGGCAGCAGAAGATGGGGGAAGATCAAGCAAGAAAGGAAGAGTGGGAACACAATGGAATTTGTATGAAACGCATGAATAGTAATGACAATGGATTGTTGATGTTTTGCAACAGGAACAGTCCAGTTCGATATGATGGACTGATATTTTGCAAATTAACCGTTTACGATATGATTTTCCAATTTTACTGATTAACTCTGTAATTTTCGCTACATACAATTCGGTTGCTCCACCTGTGTTCTCGTTCACTACAATGTAACTAAGAGAAACATATTTTACCTCTTAGTTTTTCAAACCTTTTCAATGCTAATCAAATTGTATGAATAAATTTGTAATGTGATCATCATAAGTATAACTGACTCATTATCACGTGACCCATACAGACGCCAGGTAGTTACAAACGATTGAAAATGAATTTCATATTTGACACTCATTATCAAAGTGTATCGGTAGTTTTAATGGAAATTATTCTCCCTCTTCGATTCGAGATTGTATCACCAAGATTTAGCAGTCTGAGACATTATCGCTAAGCAATTCTGACTTTGAACAATCTATCCTTCATGAGGTCAGTTTTGAATAAATCTCCAATCAAATAAAATTTGTCTTTTAATCTTAATCAACTTGAATTATGATTTTTTTCGTTTTAAACTTGTGTGATTAAAACTCAGTTGATTTGATAAAATACTAAAACAATGTAGTTATTTCTAATTGATTATTTATTTACTCACGAAATCATTCTAACTGATTAATTGTTTTAGTTAGTGTACAAACTTTTAAATCATTGTTTCTTTTATTTATAAACAGACAAAAGTAGAGTGTGACTGAATTACCTGTTAGATACCGACTAATCAAACGAGAATACAAAGTTAATGATCTAAAGTAGTTGATGATTCAGTTTATTGTAACAGAAATAAAAATAATCTGTTACAATTTTGTTTCACAAATATTTTAATATCCGTATTTATGATGCATTTAAAAAGCTACTCGTACGTTCGTTATTCAGGTGTCGAACTGCAACGATTTCCTGTCGTTTTGTGTTTTTTTCGTATGAAAAATGTGTCATCACATTATTCTTAACTTTTCAATAATCATTAAAAATTCATGATATACAAATAATTTGAAAATGTTTATAAATTACTACTTAAAATGTATTTGCAAGATTTTACATCAACTACAATTTAAAAATAAGTAGCTTATAGAAATGTGTCAACTGTTTTCCAAATATTCTTCATTGATCTAATATACTGCTTGATACTCTTGTGGTGGCCAATTTCTACGCGTGTTCTTATGCTTCGTAATTAGCTCGTCTAGACAATCGTTACAAAGTAGCGTCTGACGGTTATAAATCAGAAGATGAATTCGAAGTAATGAAGAATACGTTTATTTTTGGACACACCGCAAAGTGAAGTTGAACAAAGCGAACGAAACGACGTGAATTGGAGAAGGCTAATGAGCCAACTCCAAGAATAGAGCATGACTAAGAATATATAGTCAGACAAATATAAGACAGATATGTGACAAGCGAAATAGGCACACATGAATAAAAGCGACGAATAGTTGACAAGGTCATATGACAGGTGGGACACGTCATGTGAGCTCATACAAACCAGACAATAATAAGAACGAATGGTGCATATAAATTGTTGAAATACACAAGTGGCTGGGTTAAATAAATTAATCGAAAGGGCTTAACCAAGTTAGATGTAAGCGAACTGGAATATATGCGGAGGCATTACACTCTCATCAAAATGATAGTGGTTAACTTGGTTGCATAACATTGATTAATCAATATATTATCAATTTTTTAAATAGGGCATAGATGGAACTATTGGTTTGCCAGGAATCAAAGGACTTCCAGGTCCCGATGGTCCACTGGTAAGTGAAAAAATTGATAAAATACATATAAAATTTTATATTTAAATAAAAACTCAAATTGAAAATGTTGTCATTGATAATAATAATTCGTATGTCTGTTTTACTATCGACGTTTTCTATGATAGTTAATCCTTGCATCGAATTTCAGGAAAAATAGAAGTATGTGCATTGAGTCATGACATAAGTGACTATAAATAGGGTGGTATTAAAGAGTGAATTTGCTGAATAGGCAAATTAAGAAAAATATATTTTTGAAGATAGATGGTACATTTAATAATAGATTTGGTATTATCGTACGCTACTCACAGTTTACAAGTAGTATGTTTTAACATCACTAATATGTGTGCCATTCTTTCTTTTCTCAGGGTCCTAAAGGCATCAAAGGAAGTGCAGGACAGCCAGGTGTTAAAGTAAGTCAAGTTATAAAATTATAAAAGTGGTAAAAAGAATGGTGTTTATCCCAGTAATAAATTGTTCTCCCCAAAAAACATCATAACATGAGACGTCCCAAAGTTTTCTCATAAATTTGTTTATTATCGAAAATTTAAAATGATTTCATGTCAGTATAGATCTCTTGTTATACAGAATAATGTTACCTCTGTTAACAATATATTTATCGTTGTAAGCAAGCGATTTCAAACAAAATTTACTGATACTTAATACGAAAGTATCAGTAAATTTTTGTATATTACAACATCAGTTGAAAATCGAACATTCAAATGTTACTTAAAGTGTAAACATTTGGTTGGTCTAAGCTAACATTCAGATTCATATTTATTATCATAGTGAATCAGCGAAAATGCCACACTCTTACAGACTAAATTTAAGACCTGCTACATGACAAAAATCCATAAAGTCACTGACAACGGGACAGAGCAATGTTGGTAGGTGTCCACTACCTGGTTGAGGCCAGCGAGATGATAGTAATCGATGGTTAGAGACCCTGAATGACATGGACCAAAATGGTTTGCAATGGCGTAGATGTATACATTCTCTGTGTTCTCTCAAATCCTAACCTTCTAAATTCCTTATTACTTTATCTTTTTATTTTTAAGTTTATTTCAATAGATTCTGCTTCTTGAATAATTTCGTCGAACCCTAAAGTTTCCAATTACTGTTAATACTTCTACTACCTCTACTACTATGGGGTTTGAAGTGACAATTGCATCTCTGTGTGCTAATGTGGTATGGAAACCTGAACTGATATACGTACGTACAAAGTTCTACGTTGTAACTGACTGACTGACTGACATATAAACTGTTTGTTTATAGTTTAACTTTACCCAACCGATCTTTTGAATATTATTATTTAGGGTGGTCAAGGACGTGATGGTTTAATTGGTGATCGTGGACCACCAGGACCTAAAGGTCTACCTGGAGATCCAGGGGCAGATGGACTACGTGGGTTCGTTGGAGATCCTGGTGAACCTGGAGTAAGTAAAAAAATCCTATAGGTTAATCTTCTTCACTCGAATTACATTTGTTCACTTTCATTTGGACTGAAGTCATGACTTTTGTATATTTATCAAAACAGAAGATTTTATTCATATGTGAATTCCTTTAAATAAATGTTCAGTTCCTAGAAAATGCTTAGTCATTAAGGAAAGGCTTTATTTTAGAAGAATGAACAATAGGTTAAAATAAATAATTTTCAAAATCATTTGTTATGTTGAGTGGTTTGTTGGAATAACTTAAATTTAGAAATAGTTTAGATCATGGACTGTCATCTAGCGGATAACAAATGGAATTCAAGGGGCACTAAAAATATGAGTGATGGAATTCAGATATACTAGGATGAACACTTATTACCGACGGTACTGGATTATAGCCATACAAAATCTTTGATTGACTGAAGTTAGAAATGCTGGCTGACGAATTCCATATCATCTGTCTAAATGTATCGTGCTCATATTATGGTGATTAACTCGGTCTCTTGTGGGCTGGTCGGTATGTACTGATAAAAGCTTCAAACTAGTGTGAAATAGCAATTCATTATCACCTAGTTTTCAACGTTTCTCCTACTTATGTCAGTTCGTAACTAAATCTATTTCCCTAAAAAACATTTTAGAAATGGCGCTAGACGAAAAGTTACAAGAAAATTAATTCAGTCACAAGACCATCTATTTATGACACATCGGTATTAATTGGTATAGTGGCATGCATATAATGCAAAGATATCAATAACTTCTGTGATAACTCTGTGAAAGTACCGCTTTAACACTTCAGACTTATTTTAGATTAATAATACATTCCTCATGTAGAAAATCTTAAACTGTGAACGTATTTTCTACAGTTATATCATTCTGTCCAACGAAAAACACTTTTATTCATATTGACATTTCTCAGGGTACTACAGAATGTACAGGTATTTTACCTGGGAGACCTGGACAACGTGGTACACCCGGAGAACCTGGAGAAAAAGGATTTCCTGGAATTCCTGGATCGATAGGAGACAGAGGACTGAAAGGCTTGGTTGGTCCACAAGGAGCGGTTGGGGATCCTGGGTTTGACTGTCCCATTGGACCACCTGGTCCACCAGGTCCAAAAGGATCACCTGGTAAATAAAGAATTCATTTTGAAATCATCTCTATACGCCTCATATTTATTTAGTGACCCTTAGTCTAACTCCAATTAAGACGAACGAATGAATATGCCATGAACATAAATCGTCCACATAATTCCGTACATAACACCTAGGCTAACTCCGTTCGAGTGACCACGGTCATAGGGAACCAAATGCGAATTAAGTTGGATGAATTTATTTTATGCACTCGTTTACTTAAATAGACACTAAAATGAGGAGTGAATATGGACAAAGTGAAAAATGTCCGACAAAGCATGACTCATCATTTATGGTCAGAAAAACAAGACACAGATATGTTATGAATATAGTGAGCGATACACACACACACACACGCTAGCACAAAATTAGTCAAGATCGTAAATAGATAACTGACAAGACTAAAACCTTATTTGGTTTAAAATTCGAGAATAATAAATTAGTTGGTCTAGCAATAGCTAGAATAACCCATGTAGAAGTGAAACCAGTAGACTGGAGATGTTGGCGGTAGATCACAATCTGACGTATCACTGTCATTATAACTGAAATCTGTAGAATAACATTTACTTTGATAACTAATAATAATAATAATAATATCACTAAGTTTCTCAAGATACCAACTATCCAAACCAAAATATATCTTAATTTATTTCTCAACATTTATAATTTAAAACTAATATATTTTTTACTGCCTGATGATTCCTTCAAGGTGATGACGGACGAGCTGGTTTACCTGGTCTACCTGGGAGTCCAGGTGATGATGGATTACCAGGCGATAAAGGAGATCCGGGTATCGGTCACAGAGGTGCACCGGGTGATCCTGGAGATAGAGGTTTTGATGGGCCTCAGGGTGAGTTTCAGGCATATAGTATTTACAATTTTAACTCAGATGCTTAGGTGAAATATAAGTTATTCACTTGTTTTTATTTAGACTGGGAATTTTGAGATAGTTATAGATTTTTTTATTATAGGCTAATCAAGATATCCAAGTATAGAAAACTAACTTCTGCAGATTAATAACATAGCCGCTTATTGCACTGAGAAATTTTCTCCAGGTTTAAAGACGTTTCAAACTTAAATCGTTCGACTGATGTCAGCATTAGATAGTATTTCTAACAAACTGTTACAGATTTTACCCAAAATATTTGACATGATAGATCTGAATAATTTTATAGTCATAAATATATCGAGCAGGACATTTTTTAACTCACTATTTGCATGTATATTATGTTAAATAAATTATATTCTGGAAATAATTAATTACAGAAGGTACGCTAATTTACAAACATGACTGGGTTGATCCTTAAAGCAAAATGTAACATATAAAGAACAGAGGTATTGAGAAGACTGAGGCAGGCGCGGAAGATTGTATTATGCAAATTTACACTCTGGGTCAATTAAAAACGAAAATATTACATTGAACACTCACTCTATTTGCACACCATCTTTGAGTCGTGACTTCCAACACTCCATCCTTCTTCCATTCCTGTTGTTGCTTCCTTTCCTTCCTGTTGGTACTTCATTTACTCCTTGCTTTTGTTTCATTTGCTTTCCGTTTTCCTCTTCTGACCGTGAGACTTCTTCTTTCACGTCCCTTCTTATACTACTTATATCGTTTGTATAAGTAGCACACATCACAGTATGAGGATAAATAATTTAAAGTATGTGGCTCAAAAAGTATTTTCAAGGGAAATTATAAGTATGTGAAACATCAATCAGTAAAGAATCAGGTTTTTTCTTAGTAAAAGGACTGTGGAGTCATGCTTGTGAAAGCAATTTTAATGCTATTCCAATGTTTTGATAATCATCTATAACCAGAGAGAAAAAACAAGAAAAGAGTACGGAACAATAGCTAAAATTGCTGATGGCAAGTCTGTAGTTATATTTGCCCTTGATCGTTTGATAGCCTACTGATTTAAATAGATATTTTATAAATTAATTCAGTCAGTCAGTCAGATGGAACGTAGAACTTCGTACGGAAGTACATCAGTTCATGTCACCATACCATATCAGCACAGAGATGTAATTGTCAATTCAAATCCAATAGTAGAAGAGGTAGTAAAGGTATTAGAAGTAATCGGAGAGGTTAGTATAAGAAGATATTATTCATGAAGTATGACTCAGTGAGAAAAGTTTAGAAAGTCAAAACTAGAGTTGTTGAAGAATCCAGAAGATAAGGATTTGAGAGGACACAGAGAATAAATGCACCGGCACCATTGCGAACGGTTTTGAGCCATTTCATTCAAGGTCTCTAACCACCGATTATTATCGTCTCGCGGACCCCAACCAGGTAGTCGACAATTACCGACATGGCTCAGTCCACTCGTCAATGACTTCATGGATTTCTGCCATGTTTTAGTCTGGCCGCCCCTAACTTTCAACCTACTCCTACACCACAAAACAAAGCTCGACGAGGCAGTCGGTGGTTAGGCATACGCAACACATGTTCCAACCACCTCAACTGATGAAGTTTCATTACTTCACCTATTGATCTGCCATTCTTACCTAACACCCGTTTCCTAACGACAGCATTGCTTACTCGGTTGTGCCACGGTATACGACCAATGCTTCTTAAACATCTATGATCGAATACTATTAACCTACGAACATCTTCTACTCTTAATGGCCAAGTCTCGCATCCGTACAATAAGACGGAGCAAACTGCTGTACAGTACACTCGTCCTTTAGTCACCAAACGGATATCTCGCCTTCGCCATACGTGACGCAGGTTTATAAATTAATTAAATGGACTATAGATAATATATAAGAGTAAAATATCAGTAAATGTTGGTTCTTGATTGGGGTATCCAGTAATAAGAATGATTAAATGTTTAGCATCCTCATAAAAAAGAAACCTGTGTATGAGGAATTAATAGAATTGTATTTTCTCAGATAACTTTAAATATATAAACATAAATATTCACTTTTGTACTACGTGGATGAATTTCAGTTGTATAAAAACTTCAGTAAGAAGTGATATTGTTTTTTGAATTCTAGCACTCAGACAGTAATATAATATAATATTACAAATTAGTCTGGTTTCTTGTGTACTATTTCATAATTTTGAAGTGTTTCTTTGGTAAAGTTTTGCCGTTATAATAACCTTGATAAAAAAAGGTTAGAGAAATATGAACGGCTTCGAACAAACAAACATTGCAACGGAAATGTTTTAAAACTTAGCAAGTTGAATTCATTCGAGCATCCATTAGGTGTAAGGTCATATCTGCACATACTTGTATATTTATCTGCGAACTTCAGTTCCTTTCTTTCAAATTAATCGATATACTTTGTCATGTAATAATAAATCATTGTGATTTTTTCTCACAGGTCCAAAAGGTCCAAAAGGTTTAAAAGGTGAACGTGGATTGCCAGGTACTAAAGGAGCTGGTCGCCCTGGTCCACCAGGTGAAAAGGGTGAACGTGGATTGGATGGTTTAGCTGGAAAACATGGAAAACAAGGTCCAGTCGGACCTCAAGGTTAGTTAACTGAATGAATCATAAAGGTGTGATATTTAACCTCAACACTTTAACGTGAATAATTAGTTTCCAGATAATAGTGTGAAAATTGTTGAAATATTGAGCAACTCTCTCAATTAACGCTATATGAACACAGTATTCTCTATTGTTTGGTGATTGCTCATGAAACTGATATACATGATTGAGACTACACTAAATAATTAATAACTCATTGACCAGAAGATGAATGATGAACTCATGAACTAAACTACTACCATCTGTAGTTTTAGTGTAGAAAAAAAATAGTTATATACATACAAATAATTTTATCAAAAAGAAAAATGATCATGTTTAACTCACTAGTAGTATCAAATGATATAAAAAGTCATTATACACGTGATATTTTCCAATTATTCAGATATTATATGGATAACTTCACATCTTTTGTGGTAAGGAAGCCCCTTTTTCAAGGTTATTCAATCTGTTAATTGTAATTTCGATTCCATCAATTTAAAGTCAACTGAAATCATAAAAGAACATTGTTAGGATATTTATCCAATATCCTAAGAGAATTATTAGTCAAATCCTATTGGTCGGTTTCCATCGGTCAAAATTATGGTCGTTTTAACTGTAAAGGTCAAATACTTAAGTGTTGTCTCTTATTGGTCATCCTGACTATCAATGTCACTTCAAATGTTACTTCCTATTGGTCGTCGTAACTGTCAATGTCACAGAATTCGATGCTGTTTCCTATTCGACCAAAATGTATAAATACGCATTATCTGAAACGTTTTATGACCACGACCAGGACCAGGGCTCGGTCCCGGATCCCTAGTCCGGGATCCTGATTCTCTTCTGGTTTCGGACCTCGTACTTTCTGGATGCTTGTAGAATACACGTTCCACTTCATATCATGTCTTCTTATTTTAACTAAATATGGGGGTTGTAATAATCGGATTTGAGTGACATGTCGTGTCACCGGATCCTCGCTCTCGTTTCCGACTAAGGTAAATTCATAATAGTTCAAGTATATCGAGTTGACGTGTTTACGTGCAGGCTTAACAAACATATTTCATCATAATAGTCGAAAATGGATGAGTTGTATAACAATCCTGATTGACAATAAGCTATAGAATTCTTTCAATTGAAATATAATAAAGTTGATATAATTTGAACATTTCTTAACGTTATCTTAAAAAACAATACGAAATTGATGTGAGTACTTTTCATAAATAAATAATGATAAAAAAAACAAAATTTTTTAGGTGATGACTAGTTTTGACAGATGTGAAATTTCAATCATTATCAAGTGGATATTCTGATGATTTATACTAACAATCTATAACAAAATTCAAATAGATTAACACATAATTCTACATAATTGCTAATTCCGAATATTCTAGGTGAACCTGGAGAGCGTTGTAGTTTGTGTAAACCTGGTATACCTGGAGCAAAAGGTGAAAAAGGTGATATTGGTTCAGCTGGTCTACCAGGTCCACGAGGTCGAGATGGTGCTAAGGGAGAACGAGGAAGTCGCGGTGCTCCTGGGAATCAAGGTCGTACAGGTGCACAAGGTTATGAAGTAAGTTTACTTTGGTGATAATTCTATTATTCTGTGTTTTTAGATATCCTTTAGTTTGATAAAAAGTAGATAGAAAAAAGAGAGATTTTTTATATCGATTTCAAACGACAAAACTCCAGGAAATACAAGCAACACAGCCACTGGATTTGATTATGAATAATTGTTTCTAGTTTATTATTATCACAATATTCATATCATAAAACTGAGAACTGGTTATTTCTATAGACACATGAAATAATATATTGGTCTATCGTTTATTTTGCAAACAATCTCAGTAAGTTCAGATAACTTATCTTTCAACTGCATCTCATAGACTGTGTACAACAGGCTCACTTACTCACTTATAAACCTTACCTTGAACTAGGGGCAGTGAAACTGTAGTGAAGGAGAACACAGGTGAGGGCAACCGAATTGTATTTAACGAAATTTACAGAGTTACTCAGTAAAATAGGAAAACTATATCATAAACGGTTAATTTGCAAATCTTCAATCCATCATCAATCCATTGTCTGATATTTCACTATTCATACGTTTCATACAAATTCCATTGTGTTCCCACTCTTCCTTTCTTCTTGATCTTCCCCCATCTTCTGCTGCCAGACATTACGTTTACACTCACGTCATATACTACTTATAAGTAGCGCGCACCACAAAACTACTCAGATGGCGTAAATAGAACTGTGAGATCAAACCCAAGACTTAATGTTCGAAAATCGAGTACTTCGACCAATATATTGCCTTTTTGAAGATTGTTTAATTGATAATTCATTAAAAACTCTTCCATTTTTCTAGACTATATATGAATTACCGTAAGTCGGGCTCTATTGAAGTGTTTGAATGAACTAATTAAAACACATATATTCCAGAAGCTTGTTCGTCTTTCTTCCTATATATATAATTACTACAAATAAGTAAAAGAAAATAATGATTTATAAAATTAATTGACATTATTATTATTATTACTTCATTTTATTTTCATTTATACATCATATATATTTCATCATGTAATATTTAATTTCTTAATCTCTCATTAGGGTGATCAAGGTGAACATGGTCTCCCTGGACCAAAAGGTTTCAAAGGTGAACCAGGTGAAACAAGGACAGAATACACTGGTATCCTAAAAGGTCCGAAAGGTTATCCCGGTGTAGATGGAGTCAAAGGAGACAAAGGAATCAAGGGTATTATAGGTTCTCCTGGAGAAAAAGGGGAACGTGGATTAGAAGGACCACAGGTTAATACTTCCAAAAAAATTATTTTGTTTGTATGCGTTATTGACTATCTGGATGATTTTCAATTTAACTGAATCCTAAGGTTTTACTTAATCTATTGTCTGATGATTTATATAGAAAGCATATTGCTTGTATTTATAATTCTGCCAGTTATATTAATGATCATTAATTGAACTATCAGTATCATCTAAATGTGAATTTTCTCCTTTCTCAGGGTGATCCTGGTTTACGAGGTTTACCTGGACAAAAAGGTCCTAAAGGTATACTAGGCGAGAAGGGTTACAAAGGTGCAACAGCTGAGGTTAGATTTGGTAATAAAGGTGAAAAAGGTCAACCTGGACGTCCTGGGTTGAAAGGTGAATTAGGCGATTCTGGAGAACCTGGAAATTGTACTGTGAATGTTATCCAAAGTCGTAATCTAACTGGTATGTTGTTCACTAACAGTTCTTTTAGTATAAGTATTAATGACCTTAGGAAACACAAAATCTGTTTTCCAACAATAGAATATAAAAAAGCTTTTTCCAGTGAGAAGTTGGCGAAGAAAAAGTAATAAAAACTCAGATACCTTTCTGTATTGATTTTATCGTCATATTCTTAACTTAGTTAGTTATTCGACCAGTATTCTAAGTTAAAAAATAAACTTAACTCGGTAACTGCATACCGATTCTTTTGATTAAGCTATAGATTACTTTTACTGATACACCGAAGTTTAATGAAATAAATAGCGTTAACTTAATATTCTGTCTTCTACTTAAATGCATCCAAGTCAAAAATTTCTAAACTAGTAAAATACAATCCTCCATTTACTAGTTGTTTTCAAACTAGAACACGACAGATCAAGAATATAAATGTGTGTATGTACATAGAAAACGCTGGAAATGCAGTACTTTTGGAAAATGTTAGTTTTAAATGACTGATTTTATTTTTAAGTATGAAGTTTCAAAACGGTCATTTTCATATCGAACTAGGTGTCGACAAATATAGTAGCTGTTTGGGAGTACATGGTCAAGGCGACAATAATATTTGTCACTCTTCAAATTATACATCTTATTTCCTTCAAAAGTAATACTTTCTCTCAGAAGTCCACCATTCTCATTCATTTACTGTTTATTATGTATTTCTCGTATGATTTAGTTGAAAAAGGTGATCGTGGACCCAAAGGTGAACCTGGACCAAGAGGAGACAAAGGAAAACCAGGTGATGAAGGTCCACCTGGACAACCCGGGGATAGTGGGATTAGAGGCGAGAAAGGATTTCCGGGAATACCTGGACCTGGTGGAATAAAAGGAATAGTAGGTGAACCAGGTAAGATGACTTTAATTTCAGACACCTTTATCAAAAGTTAGTTAATCTATAGTGGAATGAATACGTAAAAAAACAAATAAATGTTATCAAGTACAGTTTATGTACTTCTGTACTACAGCCCGACCGTAGCTGCTTCCTTCACGTGACCGTGGTTGCCTATCGTGATGACCCAACCGAGCTAAATTGGCTGCAATACTTGTTCCTTTAGGTCCTAATATGCCACGCAGATCGACGGGAGAACAGCAGCAACTTAAGGTCTGAGGGCGAAGTTGTACTGCTGATCGTAAAGGGGGTAACGGCAGTAAGGCGTTTCCCTCAGACAATTAGCATCTGTAGCCATTCTGCCTTCTCATAACCAAGGCAAGCGGTTAGAAAAGATCGACCCTGAACATGTAACACCTCACTTCACCCAACGGATTTCCGTCTCCACCGGTAAAGCATTTTATAGGGTCAGGGTTAAATTTCCTTAAAAATGCCGGGCACAACCGACCAGAAGCAGTTGGATCATGGGTTCTGTAGTCACTCTCCCCGGTCGACTAAACCAAAGCGAACACAATTCCCTCGTCAAGTTCCTCAAGAAACACCAGTACACGGTGTGGGCAGCCGGGAAATGACTTCTACCTTCATACCCTCAACAGCACACGAGACCAAATCGGTCACAAATCATTTATACACCTCTTAATAACTCTCTTATCTCCACGACTAACCATTCTCTTATATCTTTATCACCTCGACACGCAGATGTGATGATTCGAGTACGCGAAAAGTTATTCCTGGTCTTCTAAAACCACGCTCAAACTACATGTTGAAGCTTTCGGTATCCGGACCTTGTTGCAAATAGGACAACACGTTTCTTTAGCTAGGACTATAGAATCTGGCGCCATTGATGTAAGCTGCGTCTCCGAAACGTGCCTACAGGATCTGAGTAGGATCATCCATTTGACCTCTCCTTGTGAAGATAAAAGACCTCGATTTACACCTCATGTACCTGGAGGCGCCACTGCTGCCTCCAGTGGCTTTGCTGGTGTAGCTACGGAATTAATTTATAAAGCAGAAGTAGCTATTTTAGACTGGATATCAGTAGATAGTCGTTTAAGCGCTGTCCGACTAAACGGCAAAGTGAGGACGCGGAAAGATAGGGAGACTCGCCGTTTCCTCTTCGTTGTTTGTTCCTGTGCTCAGATAACCGCGTATTTCTAGCAAATACTATTTTTAAGCACAAGTAAAAACATCTTTTGTCATGGCGACTCCCAAGTTAATCTAAACGATGGACTCAACTAGGTCATATCGCCATCAGCCACCGATGGGAGAGTTTAATAGGTGACTGTCACTCGTTCTGGAGAACATGTTTAGATTTAGACCATGCTTTAGTACAAGTGAGTATTTGTTTGCGAATTAGTGGACATAGGAAAGACACCGCAAGCAAACCCCTTAGGATTCTACTTAATGATAACCTAGCTAAGAATATATTTCAGGAATAATTAGAAAAACAGTTAGGCCACCATGTAAGTGATTTACATCCCGAGGCAGCCTACAATGACATTCAAAAAGCTGTAGAACCAGCAGTGATATCTATTAGTAAGGTAAATCATAAGGTTAATAAGAAGTCGTGAGTATCAGTAGCATCCATCAAACTGATGGACGCTCGGAAACTCATCCCGCCAGGCTCTGAATATGATAAAGAGTGGTGTGAGCTTAAACAAAGGTTGACAAAAAGCCTACGCAATGATCGCGAACATTGGTGGGTAACGAAAGCGAGAGAGATGGAAAAGGCAGAGATGATAGGTAACGGTAGACAACTATTCAGACTTATCAAAGGAATCGGTATTAGAAATTTCACTGTAAGTGAGACTTTCTCATTTATTCTTAATTCAGGAGATTGGATCGATAGCGAAAACACTTTAGGGATCAATTCAACTGGCCTTCAGCCACACTTTGGTTACCACCATCTCCAGTCAACCTGAATGGCAAATCGATATAAGTCCTCCAACTCTTAGTGAAGTTGAGAAAGCGATAGGAAATCTGAAGCGAGGGAGAGCAGCGGGTCATGACGGATTAACCCCTGAGATTTCTAAAGATGTTGGTCCAATTGTAGCAGCTAGATTGACTGACATCTTAGGTAGAATTTGGGAACTGGACGTCATCCCATCGAACTGGTCTCAATCCCTGATTGTGCCAGTTTATAATAAAGCACAAAAGTCCTCTTGTGATAATTATAGAAGAATCAGTCTAACTAATATAGATTCTAAATTGTTAGCCTCGATTATATTTAGACGCCAAACCAGAGCTCGTGAAGAGCAGACACCAGAAGACCAGACTGGTTTCTGACCTGGACGTGGCAGTATAGACCACATATTCACAATTCATCAGGTCCTGGAACACAGACACACATTCAGGCGTCCGACAATAGTTGTCTTCTTGGACCTTAAAGCGGCATTTGACTCTGTTGATTGTGAGGTTCTGTGGTGGCGTCTGACCAGAGAAGTACATTAACCTTATACACGCTCTCTACCCGAATACTACAAGTCGAGTTATAGTTTATGGCAAACTGTCATCGGAATCCATTACTTCAATCGTTGTCTGTCATAGATGCCCACTTTCCCCGTTCTTGTTTGATTTTATCATAGACCTGCCTTCTAGATATAACATTATCTTCATCTGTATTTTCAGGAGTCGAAATTCTACCAGGAGACTCGCTTGTTGACTTAGAGTATGCCGATGACATAGTTCTATTTGGTGAAGACGCTGACTAAATGCAGTCTTCTGAACACCCTAAACAACAATGCAAGCATGTTCGAGATGCGATTCGCCCACTCGAAACGCAAAATGTTGCCTCATAACTGGGTTGCGTCGGCACCTGAACTAGTGATAGGGAGTGAAGTATTCCAGCGTATAGACCGCTTCACCTATCTGAGGATTCTCATCAGTGCTGATGGCCATGTGTGTGACGAAATCATAGCACGGATTCAGAAGGCTAGATTGGCTTTTGCCAACTTGCGTCACTTATGGTGTAGGTGAGATACCCGTCCGCTGAATGGAGGATGAGTCTACTGAGCAGCAGTTCGCTTCGTCCTACTATATGGGTGCGAAACATGGCCAGTAAGAGTAAAGTATATTCGTAGGCTATTAGTATTCGATCATCGGCGTCTTCGATGCATTACTCGGATATCCTGAGACAATTGAGTAAGCAATGCAATTGTTAGGAAACGAGTACTAGGTAAGAATAGCAAATCAATTGATGAAAATAGTGAATCTTCGTCGATTGAGATGGTTGGGACCTTGTGAATAATTCCCTATCACCTTTATCGTTTTCTCTGTAATTTTATTACATTAGATTCTACTTTTTGAACAATATCTTCGAACCCTAATCTTCTCCATTACGCTGTTACTTCTACTGCAGAGTAAAGTTTTTCAGACAGAACATGATAAAAACTAAAAGTCTATGTGATCATTGTTATGAGCATCATTTCGATAAAATTACTACTAACTGGTTATTGTAGTTGCTTTAATTTATTGATTTTCTTTTTTGGCAACTACTGTAATTACTAAAAAAGTGAATTACTTTAACAGTATTATTTCACTATACTATAGTATAGGAATTTCCAAAACTGTTGTTTCTTTGTAGTATGGTAAATATTTCAATAAAATCACTACTATATTTTCACTTTTTTAGGTGACCCTGGTGAACAAGGTAATCCAGGAGAACCGGGATCCCCTGGAATACCTGGAATGAAAGGAGATGTAGGTGATATTGGTCCTATAGGAGATCGTGGTTACCCAGGTAAAACTTATTGAAGTGAAATAATTGATTTTGGATGATAAATCTTTCTAATGCCACAAATTCTGGCAATTTTAAAAGTCAATGAATTTGATGTTTAAAAAGTTGTTTATATTCGGCTTAAATACTCTATGTGATCCAATGTTAAGATGAGGATGAATCACGGTTTATAGAGCATGACTAAAAATTTTATATAAATGAATTTATCGGTGAAAGTTGAACTGTATATTTCGTACCTCACTCATATTTTCATAACTGATCTAATTTCCGATACTTTAGTGCAAAATATCTTTACAAACAATACTTTTCATAACTATATTTCTAATAATTATACTTTTAATACAGGTCCAAAAGGAGAAAAAGGATTGCCTGGTCAGTCTGGAGCTGGAATTCCCGGAGAACGTGGTGAACCCGGGCAACCAGGTATACCAGGTCCGAGAGGTTCTCAGGGAGATCCTGGTATGATTGGCGACCCAGGAGATCCAGGTATAAATTATGCTATGGATGAGAATATTATTATTCCATCATTTTATTGCATTTTTTGTGAAACAGTTCATATCTTAAAAGAAATATTATGTTTTAAGGCTTTTATGTTATTAATTGGGCGCATTCTTAAAAAAGGAATCATGAATTTTAAGTTGTTTTTGAGCGGGTTAACAAAAAGTATTTTTGCTTATTATTATTATCTACAGGATTAGATGGAAGACCTGGATTAGCAGGAGAACGTGGAGATGTTGGTTTACCAGGACTCCAAGGTGATCCTGGTCCAAGTGGTGGAGCTGGTATTAAAGGAATTATCGGTGATCCAGGAGATAGTGGAGAACCAGGTGTGTTTAATAAATAAACATTATTAAAGAGTTATATTTGTTGTTCATATCTAAACGATATTCACTTGAATAAACATTATGTTTATTGATGATGTCGGATTTGACCTCCCAAAAATGGAATCGAGGAACTTCATGTACTAATATTCAATGAAGGAATATGAAATTTAAAAAGGTCATACATAAGAAACACTGCATTTATAAGTAATGTATGTTATCTGCTGATACTAGTTCGGCTACTGAGGTCTATTTGAACCTGAATTACTAAGTATAGTTCATCAGGATCTAATGGCTACAGATGATGATTACTACTTTCAAGATTGAAAACCAAACGATTTTGAGTTAGTACATGAGCAAATGCATATTTTACTCGGACTACTGACCTACTGCGACTACAATTCTAATATTGGTTATTTTAGGCTAAACATATCATAATTTCTGGTAAAGCAAAATATTTTAATAGTAGTATCTTACTACGGAGTTTTAGTTATGCTTTTCTTCTGTGTCATATTTTAGGTTTGCCCGGACGTCCTGGTACACCAGGAGATAAAGGTAGATGTCTTGGAGCAGCAGAAAAAGGAGAACCTGGTCCTCCCGGTTCAGAAGGTCCAGAAGGACAAAAAGGGGAACCTGGACTAAGAGGAGCGAAAGGAGAGCGAGGGCCATCAGGTCCAATTGGCCGAACAGGTAAGTTGTTATTCGTGATTACATGTAATTTAGTGTAGTTATTTTCAAATTTTTTTTTAATATCATTATAAAATAGTAGAAAATTAGATTTGCATAATCAACTATTTCTTTCTTCAAATGTTATTTATCGAAAATTTAGGGAGTATTTTAATTCATCGTTTAAATTTGAAGTTCAGCACATGGTTTAACAAGTAGTAATGATTACTCTTTAAGGAATTTAAAGATACTGAGCCTTACTTTTATACATCTTTCTTTGCAGGTGAAAAGGGTTTAAGAGGTGAACCAGGCTTACCTGGTCCAGATGGTCCTGCAGGCGATGCAGGTCCTCCTGGTCGTCCAGGAACTACTGGTCCTAAAGGCTTTGAAGGAACACCTGGACCGAAAGGATTTGAAGGACCACCAGGTAATACAATGAATTTTCGTCTTTATTACTGATAAACAGATTGTTACGTTTACAAGTATCATATGATTTTTAAACTTTATAAACATAACGTAACGAAATGGCATTAAAAAAGGAATTACACTGAACAATACAAGTCGTTAACGAATATGACTGTCCTTTTCAGGACATTGAGACTTTATGAATATCAAAAGGAAACGCCTTATTGGCAAGTGGGAGAAATTACTTCGTTGACATACAACTGTTAATAAAAATTTTTAACCAGTATAGCAATACAAGGAAAAAGTTACTGCGTAATTTGAGCTCATTGACCCCAAAACAGGGTAAATCATTTAGTAAAAATATTTAGATCAATTAACAGAATAAATCATAAGTTTAAGTATAGTAAGTAAGTAACAGTGTAAGTGCTTAAAGTTTTTAAAGTCTTTCCCATCATTATGTATTAACTTATTTGAACACACAAACACTGGTACAAGTGGACACCTAAATATTTATGCATCTTACAAATTATTGAATTTATGAGTGTACTTTAATACTGCCTCGGTGACCAAATCGAAACAGGTGGTATTTTTAGGGGGCTGCACCTCGACCGTTTGATCAAGAGGCCTTATCCACAAGACAGTTGAACAAAGTCAGGAGATACAGTCTCATGGTAGCCAGTGACAAACAATAGGTTCATATACCATCCGTTCCATCGGAGTACTGTAGCCCATGTACACCAGTGGCTTGGAATCAGGATTTTCCAGCTCCCCTAGAGGGATCATTTGCATCTACCAACTTGTTTGAGGCACCTGATTCTCATTTTCGTCTTCCTAATCTCTTAAACAACACTCCTGCCACGATATGGCAGTGAATAGGACTTCCGTGTCAGCGACTATATATTCTTGGCCACATGAGAGCACTTACAGAGGGACAGTGGACTCTCCCCACTTTCAGCTGTACCAGCGCATTCGAGGGACAAAGGCGTGGTGCCTGATAGGGGGCCTGATCTTCTAAGCCCCATATTAGAAGCTTGATGCTCTACTGACTATGCAAACATGGTTAGACAGATATTCTATTTTCATAATAACTTACGCTACCTTTCTAAAAGACACATATTATATACATTCTCATTAACTATTCATCTGTCACTGATAACTAGATTTCAATTCCTAAGTAACAGCTAAACGTTAGACCTATCAATTCACTTTAGTCTCAGATCGAGATAATCACATCAGCGAGGACAGTTTCAATTATCGAACTATTAAGTTTTAACCATTTAAAGTAACCACTAGTCTTCGTTAGTTCTTTTATCAATAACAGTTCATTTGTATCATATCTATACATAAGTAAGAAAAATAACATTATAGGTATTATTATTGCCTAGTGTCCGATTTATACAGCTTCTATTTGATGAATATGAAAGTCTAGTACATAGTCGGGTCTGTAATTTTAAAAATAAGGGAAATCTGTCCAAATTATCTGAGTTAAACTCATCTGCTGGATATGTTTTTATCAAATGGGAATGTCTGGAGATAAAGGTGAACCAGGTATCTCTAGTAATTGATGGCTGCTTTGGTAGAAAGGTAGGTAAGCATTACAAGTTTTTGTCAATATACAGAGAAAAACTTATTCGGCAAATAACCTAATGAAGTATATTCCATCATTTCATGAATTTAGGTATTCCTGGTGACGAAGGTCAACCGGGTCCAAAAGGTGAACCTGGTCTTCCTGGTACAGATTCATTTGGTGAAAAAGGTGATGTGGGAGAACGTGGTCCTCAAGGTGATGTTGGAGAAAAAGGTTCCACTGGAAAACCTGGTTTACGTGGACCTCCAGGTGATGCAGGAACTATCGGTCAAGCAGTAGTCGGAGATACTGGTGATATTGGAGAGGTTGGCGAGAAGGGTCTACCAGGAATGCCTGGAGACCCTGGACTACCTGGACCTAAAGGCTCCCCAGGAGTGCCAGGTTTAATCGGACCAAAGGTACATGGATATCATTCTTAATCCTCTAGTCGTTAACCTTAGTATTGTATTCACTGTTTTCGGAAAGCTATTAATTACTTTGCCTCATCTTAATCACTTTTGTAATTTCCATTTTTAGGGCATAATCGGAGATCCCGGCGTGCCAGGTTTGCAAGGCCGTCCGGGAAAACCTGGTCAAGAAGGTCAACCTGGTTTGCCAGGTCCCAAAGGTTTTCCAGGGGAGAAGGGTCAGAGAGGTATCAAAGGAGAACGTGGCGAACCCGGCGAAACAATGGTTGGACGTGACGGAGAACCAGGGGATATGGGTGAACGAGGCATTCCTGGAATTCCAGGACCCAAAGGAGATAGAGGATTTCCAGGTAAGATGAAATTTATGATCATGTACTACATACTTATAATTTCTTGATACACAATTTAATCTTATGATTGGTTTTATTTTATTAATCTTTATACTGTAATTTAGGTGACACTGGGCCAAAAGGCTTACGAGGTTTGCCTGGTCGAGTAGGCGAGAAAGGTCAAATGGGAATGTCTGGAGATAAAGGTGAACCAGGTATCTCTGGAATTGATGGCTACCCTGGTAGAAAGGGGGATAAAGGTGAATCTGGTGATATTGGACCTATAGGTGATCCTGGACCAAGAGGACAACCTGGACCTAAGGGTTTCCCCGGTGGGCCTGGCCAGTGCATACCACCTGAGGAAAGTCCTGTTGGAGATCCTGGTCCACAAGGTCCTAGAGGACCACCGGGTGAAAAAGGCTTGACAGGTAATTATAATGACACCTTTATTTTCGCGTAATTCGTATTCATAATATTCTGTCTAAACTCTAGTAGGTACTTGAACGCTCTTCGATACTAGGAATAATAAAATTAACCAATTGAAATGCATATATGTATTAACTCAATTCAACAATTAAAGTTTGTTTAGTGAAGCATGAAATTCTATTAAGTTACGCAATTTTACAACCATTCACTGAAATTTGGAAATTATTCACGAATTTTCACTGACTTGATAATGTCTAATAAAAAAATTAGTCACACTGGAAAAATGTTTAGAAGTATTTCAAAAATACTTTTATCGTATTGATTTGACGTTAAACTAAGTTACATTTGTCGTGACCGTTTGTGTATAAAAAAACATTTATTATAGGAATGCTTGATCGAGTTGACTATGACTCATCTTCGTTCTGTCATAGAGTATTTATTACTCATTCATAAATTCATACAAACCGCATCAATATGCAAAATAACTTGTCACTTTTAGTGAGCGAGTCCGGATACCAGATTGACTATGCCCACCACTAAATGTTCCATACGGTCGCGTGACGAAAAGCAGAACAAAATAGATCAATACTCCATGGTTTTATTGAAGGAAAACGTTGGCATTACATGGGGAGCAGCAAATTGAGAAATATGGCGGCAACGCGAATAGAACGTTGCGCGCAAGAAGTTGGTACAGTTAAACAAAACGAGTACAATAATGTTTACATTTCAAAAATCGCATTTTCTTTGTAGAAGCGTCCCACTACACACTAATGACAATAAGGTCTGAAAAAAGTTTCAATCGAAATCCTAGCACAAGTTTTCTGGGAGAGTAATTTTATTTCTCCTAAATTATGAATTAAAATGTTTTTTTCAGTTTTTTTGATTGTGTTTATCATATTTTGGGAAACATGAAATTCGATATTTTCATAATTATTATTTATTCAATTATGATGTTATCAGGACTACCAGGAAAAGTGGGTAAAACTGGTGATCCTGGTCCACCTGGAAGAGGTATTCCTGGTTCTAAAGGTCAACGTGGTGATCCTGGACTTCGTGGTCTTACTGGTAAGTAACATTATAAATTCATTGATTTCACAAATTGTTCATATAAACGGAAAAATTTAATGGAATTTAAATATATATATATATAAAACATTGGCACATAACTTGAATATTTTCATATTTAGAAAAATTAAATTGATACAGATTTATATACCTTTAAAAGCTTCATCGACAATATACAATTTGATTGGATGGAATTATTGGAAAATAATTGTTTTTCAATAGATACTAACAACATAGTACCCCTGAAGTGAAAGAGAACACAGGTGGGGCAACCGAATTGTATTTAACGAAAATTACAGAGTTACTCAGTAAAATAGGAAAACCATATCGTAAATCGTTCATTTGCAAAATAACAGTTCATCATATCGAACTGAACTGTTCCTGTTGCAAAACATCAATCCATTGTCACTATTCATGCGTTTCATACAAATTCCATTGTGTTCTAACTGTTCCTTTCTTGATCTTCCCCCATCTTTTGCTACCAGACATTACGTTGACACTCACGTCATATACTACTTATAAGTAGCTCGCACCACAGCACCACACCCTTACTAAATGGTTTGGCTGTTAGTATACTTGAAAATTAGTACCATTATACACCAAATACAAGTGGATGTTAATATTAGTCAAGACAATGCTTATTTAGTTCTATGGATTATTGTGCACTTTGCATAAAGTACTTTTAAGTAATGGTAATCCGGCATATTTTAGCGTGTCACGGAATACGGAAGGTGATATTAACTGACCAAGGTCCCTGTTTTGAAAGTGACGAGTTTAAAGCCCGTCTAAAGCAGTTTGGCGTCAAGAGGATACGAACTACACCGTATCATCCGCAGATAAACGGGCTTACAGAGAGAAACAGCCGGACGTTAAAAGAAATGGTTGGCATCTAAAGGAGGAGATTGGGAGAAAGAGTTACCATTGATTTTGCTGATGCCAAAGTGTGAAGGATCGTAAGTTATCACGGAGAGACGCGGCGTGGTTTACACGACCCAGAGAGAAGACAAGCAGAAGCGCGTAAATGCTAGTCAACTGCAGAGATGGTTTCAAGATTATCACGAAAAGCACCAAAGATGACAACGGTACGGTAATCAGAAAGACTACGACGACAGCTCATTAAAAGGGGGGACGAGCGTGGTGCGCGCCACTTATAAGTAGTATATGACGCGAGTGTAAACGTAATGTCTGGCAGCAGAAGATGGGGGAAGATCAAGAAAAGAAGAGTGGGAACACAATCGAATTTGTATGAAACGCATGAATATTGAAATGTCAGACAATGGATTGATGATAGATTGAAGATTTGCAAATTGACGATTTACGATATGGTTTTCCTATTTTACTGAGTAACTCTGTAATTTTCGTTAAATACAATTCGGTTGCCCTCATCTGTGTTATCCTTCACTACAGTAGTACAAACAAGCTTAGCTTTAATTTATTGTTCCCAATCTGTGATTACGTAGCTATGCTTACTTTGTTAACAATAAGAGAACAATTGAATTTATAGAGGAAACCAAACAAAAAAACATGAAATCGAAAAACTGTAACAGGCTAAAAATCTGTTACTAGAATTCATTATCAGAGTTTTACATTTTGATGTTCAGCTTCAAGTTCCATAACTATTTTAAACTTTCTGGAGATTCTGGCAAAATCAAGAACAATTATTGAGATCAAAGTTACTGACTAGGGACTTAGTTATAATGATGACCTTACTGTATCGGTTTCTGATTATAAATAATTATTCTTGGTTCAAATATATATTTTCAATTTAATTATCTTTGCTTAAATGTGACAAACTTCATTTCTGATTATTGACTTTGATTTTACTGTCAATAGTGGTGTCTTTTGTATCAGCAATGGATGTTCACTAAGTCTTTATCTATGTATTTTTAATGGATTTCTGGTAAATGAACTCTGAGTCCAATATTCTTGATGAACATTTTTTCGAATGCTCAATTTTATAGCTTGTAATCTTCCCTATTTCTTACTTCATTGTCACTTGAAAATTTCTTTTATATTTTCGTAACGTAGGTCCAAAAGGTGAACAAGGGGAAGCAGGAGATCCAGGTGATATGGCCCTACCTGGCGCCAAAGGTCAACGAGGTTATCCTGGGGTTAAGGGTGAAAAAGGTGAATTAGGAATACCTGGAGACATTGGCCCAAGAGGTCCTATTGGAGATCCAGGTCTCCCTGGGGATGTTGGAGTACCAGGCGACGATGGAAGACCAGGTCTTTCGGGTCCTAGAGGTGATAAAGGAGACACTGGATGGCCAGGAACGATTGGAATGAAAGGAGAAAGTGGAGACGTTGGTGATCCTGGACCAATAGGTATACCTGGCATACCTGGAGAAGATGCAACTGGTCTACCCGGAGCCAAAGGAGAGAAAGGTGAACCAGGAACACCCGGACCAAAAGGTATGGTTGGTGAGCCAGCAGTACGAGGACTAAAAGGAGCTAAAGGGGAAATGGGACTACCTGGTCCCACTGGTAGAGAACCTGGAGAACCGGGGCCAAAAGGAGATCCGGGATTGAAAGGTACTCCTGGTGATATTGGTCCAAGAGGTATGCCTGGAGACATTGGTCCTCCTGGACCTGAAGGATTCAGCGGTCCTCCTGGACAAGCACTGCAGAGCACCTACTTGTTTACTAGGCATTTTCAAAATCCTGATACTGAACCTGTATGTCCTCCAGGTTCACAAAAAATATCAGACGGATATAGTTTTGTAATGGCAAATGGAAATGGTGAATTAGTAACCATGGATTTAGGTAAGTACTAACTAGTTAATAGCTTCCAAATCTACAGTGTCTTTTTCTCATGTATAAGTTCTAGATAATGAGATTAAAATAAGTTTATATCCTAAAACGTTTTATGTTTTTGGAACAATGTTCGATAAGTGTTTCAAGAAAATGATCATCGTTAGTTGAACGGTGAAATATATTTATAATTGACTGAAATATTGTAAGAAATAATGAATGGGTGTTAGTAAAAAGGTAGGATTTATTACAATTCACTATCGGTATTCAACTAAGTAATCAACACAGATCATTTATAGTTGTTTTGTTGAGAGAGTACGAAAAAAGGATTTCGTGTAGGCATGTGATACAGTTTATGTTCAAGTCATTTTTAAAAATATGTTTTTATTTTTCAATGTACAACTTAATGTAAATCTAATTAGGATGATTTATTAATGATAAAAAAACTCAACACTTGAATAATAAATCTGATGACACAAACTTCATGTTGATGGATTATGTGATATGGTGCAATTATCTAAAATAGTTCACTAAGATCTTTATTGCTATCTAACCTGTTTGTTTGAAAACATTTCCGATAGTTAGTTACAAGTCATCCATCAAATACCGATAAATGTTCACATATTCTGAACACAAAGTCTCTATTTATTCGTCGTACATTCTTCAATGGTCAAATTTTCACCTATTCTATATTTACTTATTAGCTAATGAGAACGTTTGTGACTGTTTATTTTTTGATAGGTTCTCATAGTTCATGTCTAAGTATGTTCAGTATAATGCCATTTTTCCAATGTCTTCGCGATGGATCTTGTCAACTTGGTGTTCGAGCTGATCGTTCTTATTGGTTAGCTACCACGGAACCTCTTCCAATGATGCCACTTGATGTAAGCGAAGTCCGTCGAAGAGTTGCTCGTTGTGTTGTTTGTGAAGCTCCGACACAACCTTATGCTTTCCATGCACAAGCAAATCAACTTCAAGAAGTTAACTGTCCAGAAGGTTGGGCCAGACTATGGGATGGATATAGCTTTGTAATGGTGAGATTATAACTATATATTCCTTCTGATTTGAATAGTGTTAACATGGTAAAGTGTATTTTATCAAATCTCTGACCGGTAAACATATCTGACATACTTTTAAGCCATTTATATATATGTAAATAAGGTTTGTAAACCTCAGGCAACAGTAGTAAAAAGTAGAAAATACAAATCTCATAATAGTGTTGCCGCTGAATCACTGTCTGATTTGAAGCGATATAACTGGAGAACGTTTTGTTTATCTACATTTCCATCATCGCTATTTAATAACCAGTAATATGGGTGTTTTTCTGCAATTGAGAGTAATAGTCTATACAAGAATCAATATGTATCAGCGGTTTCTACAATGTTTCAAACTTTTGAATTTAACTTCACTGTATTTACATCTAGAAAGGTATATTATATACCACATTGATCTCACTTTGTTCGAATGTGTAAATAAGTATCGATATTAACTATCACTATACATTCTGATTGATAAGATCGATAGAGTGTTTTCTTTCAAGTTTTACTACCTATTTCGTTTCTTTATTTGGCTTTTTTAAATTTTATGGGTTTTATTACGCCAGATAGATAAAATGGTTCGATTGATTGTTATAATCACTAATAATATTTAGAAATAAATTATACTGAACAACAATCAATGATGCTTATGAACGAACTAATACTTTGTGGTGGTGTTTTGTTCTCTGAGCTGGTTGTTTTGGTTGTGGAGCTTTCATTGTTCTTCTACTGAACAACATCATCAGCACAAACTTCTTCAGATAGAAAGCTCCACAACCAAAACAACCAGCTCAGAGAACAAAACACCACCACAATCATCCACCTGAGCTACAAGTTTTCTTCACCATCTCAAGAACTAATACTTTACTTAAAAAGAATAATATTAATTAGTTTTATATTTGTTTGTTATTAAAGTTCTAATTTATTTGATGGTCAAAATGATCTTTAATTTATTTGAAACTGCCAAGTCCAACTTTGATATTTTACTACCTACAAATGGCGGCCTTCAAGGTTCTTCCAGAAAGAAAGATAGAAACACTCGGTAGAACATAGATAATAAGTTTAAATAAGTCATTAAAGTATAGATAGATAGCATCATAATCACAGTATATTGAATAGAAAAGTTTTGTTTCTCAATACATTGCAAACTAAGTCTACGATGTTGTATTATAACTAGGGTCTAAAACAAATAACTGCTAAATGACATCTTCAAAGTCAGAATAGTAGGACTGAAAAGAGAATAATGGTTTTATCAACATATATATATATATCATTTTGTTACATATTCTTTTCTTAATAGCATAGTGTTGGAAGTACTGGTGGCGGTCAACAGCTTTCATCACCTGGCAGTTGTCTTGAATATTTCAGTTATTCTCCACTGCTAGAATGTAACAATGGTATGAGTTTGTGTAATTATTGGTCAGATGCAAAAGCCTATTATTTACGTCATGTTAGTAATAACACAGAATTTCAAAAACCAGTTGGTCAATACATTACAGATCATTTACCAGATGAAACTAAAGTACTACGTGAAATAAGTCGATGTCGTGTTTGTACCAAATCTCGGTTTCAATCATATTTTGTTTAATTAGAAGAGAGAAAGATACGAAGAGTAAGAGGAGTAAAATGATAATGTTTAAACATTTATGAAATTTTTATGGAATGAAAACGATTATTTCAATTTATTAAAAATTAATTCAGGATGATATATATATATATATATATCACTTGACAAATATTTCACCTCCATTCTTCTTATCAACTTATTCTAGATACTTATTTCGATTTAATTGCTCTTCCTCAAAACAAAAAAATATTTTCCGTTCACTTATATATATTACTTTTTTTGCTTTTTATGTCGTTTCTGAACTCTTTCCTTCTGTGTAAGTGATATTATATACAAATATTTTATTTCAACTTAATTTATCTTATTATGACTTTGATAATTATTACTATTATTAGTATGAATATTGTTTTAATCAAATAAAATAGAGAATTTTAAAGCTTCATGAATAAAATTTTTCTTCACACTATCTCTTATAGTGATTATATCCTATTTATTAAATGAGTCAGATGGAAATTTTTATTTTGAATGCTTCTTTTAACTGCCTTGTCTAATTTAATTTTAACAAGCTTGCTAGGTGTTAAATTTTATTTTATATGACTATACAATAAGGTGTGAATTTAAATTTTTCCTAGGGGGTTTTTCTTTTGAGAGTGTCCTCTAACATATTTGTCTCGTATTCCTTTCTGTCTTTATCTGTTGTAACCATAAAATATTATTAAATGTCAAGTGTTGAATAATGAAATTCTTGTCAGTCTAAAACAACTTTTGAATTAACTAGAAATATACTTTTCTGATCAAAATTTTAATCGTGGAGGTACGCTTTTATTCATTGAACGTGTTGTAAAACAATTTATTCTTAGATTATGTTGAATCAGTTTATTTGTCTATATGAAATGTCTGTAAATCAGATTGGCTTAGACCGTACATTATTGAGTATTGATTTTAATCGTCAAATATAGGATATAATACCATTTGCTTGGTGGTACAAGAAAGTATTCACCATAGGTAATGGCTTGCAGAAACATTTTGAAAGACCTACAATTTGATGCGAAGAAATGTTAATGAGATGATTCATCTTTGCAGATAGTGGCCATAAGCCTTATATACTAGCTACCATTTAAAATGATTTTCAGGGCTAGGAATTCAAATATCCAAATACTTCATAAACATTTATTCGTCACGCATCTTTGAAACCGCAAATTTGAGGGTTGCGGATACTGATAACACTGAAACCAAATCTATACTTCCTATGTGATAGCAGTTTATTTTTTAAAACTTAATTCATTTGTTAGCTAATGTATAAGTGTGAAAGTCATTTCTAAATATTATTCACAATCAAATGAGCTTATTTTATCCTTTCAAACCAACTTTTGCGGTACTGAATGTCTTCAAACTGTCCATTTGTAAACAAAGGATATTTATATCTCGTATTATTTTACCATAATATCACTTTAGTTTGAACTAACAGCTTTCATATTTAGCCTAAACAGAATTTGTACTCAATACTTATTAAATTTTTCGATTCAGTATTTGAGAAGATTATATTTCTACTGCCTTTAAACCTCCTGAAAGTTTGTACCTGTTCAGCAGTCCTAATATACAACTAGGTTTTCAAAGTTAGTGGGGTTTCTTACTTGATGAATGAGTAAAGTGGATGTCGACAAATATGGTAATGTAATTGTAAATGCTACAGCACATGCATCAGAAAATGAAATCTGAACTGCTTATACTTATTTGTAAAAGAATAGCGAAAAAGATCCATTCTATGATCGGAAATACTTTCGATCGAAGTTAATTTTTTGAGCATGATGTTTTGAGTATGATGTTTTTCATATGCTAATGTCCAACTACTCAGTTATAATAAAAGCAATTAAAATAGTACGGTTTCATCTCACGGTTATCCTATAGTGAATAGCTGACAAAACTAAATAAGTGTTTTAAGATAACTCAGTATCGATGGTGGTAACTTCCTCTACCACTGATCAACCAACAAAAATTACTGCAAAAATGAAAAACTACCGATACATCACCGAGCCCAATTCATAACATAACACAAAATAAAATTATCTGGTTTTACGCACAAATTATTCTTGAAGAAACTTGTAGCGTGTGTGCTCTTGTGTCGAGCCAACAGAGCTTGTCTCAATCTTTAGACTAGTTAATTAACCCATTTTTCTCTAGTTACTAAACGTCTTTTGACCTTGTCGATCGTTCGCTCATATCTTGGTTGTTTTTTCTTGAGTATGTATGTAGTTTACTTCGCTTATTACATGTTTAGCTTATTTTGTGTGACCATAAGCACTTAATCATGTTTCGTTGCATTGAGTTGGTTTACTTGCTTTCCCTGCTCCGTTTAACTTTGCATTCACGCTTCGTATTCTCATGTCTGTCTGTGCTAACGATTATTTCAAATCAATTCATCCAACCTGATCAGTATTTGGCCTCTTATTATCTCCGTCACACAAACGGGGTTCGCTTAAATATGGTAACCGAAGGAGAGAGATATTTCATAGCATACTAGAACGTTCGGAAACAGAGGAGTCAGCTCACAGGCCACCACAGTAGTGAGCCCAACTTAGAATGTAACGCAGCCACATAAAATGGTGATCCCGACGATGAACATTACACAGCCCTCTAAAAACTTATGAAAGTAACTTGGATCACAAGCTTTGAAAAGAGATGTTACTTAGGTTGTTATCCTCTAATGACCTTAGCAGTTTAGTTCTTAGCGTAGTTTGGATGAAATATACTTTATTTTTAATTAAAGCTTCATGTTTATAATTTGTTTTTGATCTAAAAATGACAATGACACTGCGGCCATAAATCTTATCTATATAGAGTAAGAGCGAACTTGGTCTATTTTAATCCACGACAACTTAAAGAACAAGCTGACATATGCTTATCAGATGGACTTGAATTAAATGAGAGGTAGTATGATTTTTAACTCTGAATGAAGCCCCCTTCGGGTTACTTCTGGTCCGAAGGCCAGATAAAGGAGGAGGGTTGGGAATTAGGTTAGTGACCACATCCAGTGGAAAACACACTTGCTAAAAATCCGTTAACGAGAACAAATAATTCTAACCATTCAAACTCCGCCTTGGTAGTTGGAAGGTCTTCATTTAAAATACTTATCATGCCTCATGGTAAAAACTGAGTTTCTTCCGAAGTCACGAGGCCGATCCTCCTCCTAAAGGACATATTGCGCCAAGAATCGGAGACAGACATGAAAAGAATGAATAGCAGTTGAGTATAACTGGAAAGAAAGATTCAGGATAGAAGTGATTGGAGAATGCTGGTTGGCGGCCTATGCTTCATCAGGGGTTATAGGCGTAAATCAGTTGTTAATTTGATTTTCTAGCTAAAGTCCAATTTTGACGAGAAGAATAAACAAAAAGCAATCTTTCCTGTTCCATTCAGCGGAATCTTCTGTATTTTAAAAATAGGTTTCTTTGTTCTTCTTCATATGAGTTGGCAAGGAAAAAATAGCTTGTTTGGCATTGTTAATTTCAAAGTTTTCAAATTATCTATTTAATATTCTTCAATGTGTGGCATATACAAATTATTTACATGATCGTACATTTGTAAAACTGCTAATTGTATCTTTGGTCGATTTTCTTTTTTTTTCTCATTCTTCGTCCATTAGGCCATATCCATTCTCAGGGCCAGAAATAACTAAAGAGAATATCAAACGTTGTTATAATACGTTCATTATAAATTAACAGCCAATCCAAATGTTGAACAGGTCGTAGAATACAAAAACATAGTGTGACATAAATGTTTTGAAAATTTTTTTAGAATAATCACATTTAAGGTAGATAATAATTAATCGTTAAGGACAATATAACCCTAAACTTTTTAGGGAGTAACATATCTTGAATACCTGTTCCCAGAGAGTTGCTAGTAAGCTAATTCTAATGCTCCTGTAGACCATTCGGGGCTACTGCCCGTCCCAAGCCTGAGTAAAGGAGGAGGGTTGGGCATAGGGTTGGCGACCCCATCCCACAAAAAAACTAACTCGCTAAAAAGCGCTAAACAGAAAACATAATTTAACCATTTTAACTCTGCCCTGGGAGTTAGAAGGTCTTCTTTCAGAAGAATTATGACGACTCATAATAAAAGCCGAGTTCTCTCGTAAGTCACGGGGCCGATGTCCCTTCTGAAAACAAGAGCAACCACTCTTTTAGGTACATGGAACGTTCGAACATTGGGAAGACTGGAAGACTATTTCAAGTTGCTGCAGAAATGAAAAGATACAACCTCGAGGTGCTTGGAATCAGTGAATGGATTGGATGCAGTTAGGACAACTGAAACTAGCTTCAGGGGAGATGCTGTTGTAATCAGGTCATGAAGACGAAAAAGACTCACATACACAAGGAGTCGCACTGACGCTGTCCAAACAAGCATAAAAGGCACTGATAGGATGGGAATCTCATGGGCCCATGATCATCAAATCATCCTTCTAGATAAAGAAGAAGAACATTACAATCAACGTCATCCAGTGCTACGCACCTACCAACGACTACAATGACGACGTTAAAGATCAATTCTACGAAAGGCTGCAGTCAATCGTCGAGAAATGTTCACCAAAGGATTTGACGATTCTGATGGGAGACCTAAATGACAAGGTTGGCATGCACAACACTGAATATGAAGACATCATGGGACCACATGGACTAGGAGAAAGGGACGAAAACGGTGAGAGACTTGCAAACCTACGTGCCTTCAACAAACTGGTCATCGGTGGCACAAAATTCCCACACAAACGCATACACAAAGCTACATGGATTTCACCGGACCACACTACTCAAAACCAAATTGATCATATCTGTATCAACAAAACGTTCAGAAGGACCATGGAAGAAGAGAGGAGCTGATATAGCTTCAGATCACCACTTGCTAGTCGCCAAAATGAAACTGAAGAAGCACTGGACAACATGGCAGACAATAGCACAGAAGTTCAATACGGCCTTTCTTCGGAATACTTTAAAACTCAACGAATTCAGGATAGTCCTCAGCAATAGGTTCCAGGCCTTGCACGATATACTCAATGGAGAGGAAGCAACATTGGAGAACAATTGGAAAGGGATCAAGGAGGCAATCACTTCAAAATGTCACGAAGTTCTGGGTCACAAGACAGACAGACAGATACAACACAGAACTTCGTACGTAAGTACATCAGTTCAGGTTGCCATGCCCCATCAGCACAGAGACGCAGCTGTCAGTTCAAATCCAAGAGTGATAGTAATAGTAGATGTATTAGTAGTAATCGAGAAGATTAGGGAGCGAATATATGATTCGAAGAGTATAATTCAGTAAGATAAATTTAGAAGGAGAAAGATAGAGATTATGAGGAAGCTTAGAATTTTATAGAAAACAAAGAGTGGATGCACCTGCACCATCGCAAACGACTCTGAGCCTAACGTTCAAGGTCTCTAACCATTGGTGACTATCGTCTCGCGGACCCCAACCAGGTAGTCTACATCTACCAACATGACTCGGTCCACTAGTCAGTGACTTCATGGATTTGTGCCATGTTTTGGTTAGGCCGCACCTAGCGTTCTTCCAATCTACTCCTACACCACAAAACATAGCTCGTCGCGGCAGTCGGTGGTTAGCCATACGTAACACATGTCCCAACCACCTCAACTGATGAAGTTTTACCACTTAGTCTATTGATCTGCCATCCTTACCTAGCACCCGTTTCCTAACGACAGCATTGCTTACTCGGTTGTCCCACGGTATACGACCAATGCTTCTTAAACATCTATGATCGAATACTAGTAACCTACGAACATCTCCTACTCTTAACGGCCAAGTCTCGCATCCGTACAGTAAGACGGAGCGGACAGTACAGTACACTCGTCCTTTGGTTAGCAAACGGATATCTCGCCTTTGCTATAAGTGACGCAAGCTGGCAAAAGACAATCGAGCCTTCTCTATCCGAGCTGAGATTTCGTCAGTCAACAGGCCATCACCACTGATGAGACTCCCAAGATAAGTGGAGCGATCAACACGCTCGACTACTTCACTCCCTATCACTAGTTCAGGTGCCGATGCAAACCAATCGTGAAGCAACATTTTGCATTTCAAGGGGGAAACCGCATCCCGAACATGCTTGCATTGTTGCTTAGAGTAGTCAGAAGACTCTGTATTTTGTCAGCTTCTTCACGGAATAGCACGACGTCTTCAGCATATTCTAGATCAGTAAGCGATTTTCCTGGCAGAAGGTCCACACCTGAAAAATCTGACAAGCTTAATGTTAAGTCTAAGAGGATGTCTACGACAAAGTTAAACAAGAATGGGGACAGTGGACATACTTGACGGACACCATTTGAGGTAAAGAATTCCGATGACAGTTCGTCATAAGCTCTCACTCGACCAGTGGTGTTCGAGTAGAGAGCTTGTATGAGGTTAATGTACTTCTCTAGTACACCCTTCAATGACAGACACTGCCACAGAACCTCACGATCCACAGAGTCGAATGCTGCCTTAAGGTCCAGGAACACAACTATTGTCGGACGCCTAAATGTATGCCTGTGTTCCAGGACCTGTCTTAGTGTGAAGATGTGGTCTATACATCCACGTCCAGATTTGAATCCAGTCTGGTTTTCTCTAGTCCGCTCTTCATGAACACTAGTAAGGCGTCTAAGTATAATGGAGGCTAAGGTAGCAGCTATGGTTGGGAGGGTCACAAAAAGTACCATCACAAGTAATGGATCTCTGTTGTTACTATTGAAAATGTTAAAGAAAGCGGAAACAAGAAGGCAGCAATCAACATCAACTGAACAAGAGCAGAGAAAGTCAAGGCACAAGCTGAATACACAGAAGAAAACAGGAAAGTGAAGAAGAGCATCAGAGCCGACAAACGAAAATATGTGGAAGATCTAGCAATGACGGCGAAAAAGGCTGCAAGGGAGGGGAACATGAGACAGTTGTACGAAACTACAAAGAAGCTCCCCGGAAAATATTGTAAACCAGATTGACCAGTGAAAAGCAAGGAAGGCAAAGTAATCAGCAACACTGAAAAAAGAAGTGAGTAGAGCACTTTAAGGAACTCTTGAATCGACCGGCTCCACTGAACCCATCCAACATCGAAGCAGCATCTACGGACCTCCCAATCGATGTTAGCTCACCAACAATTGATAGTATGGCTATCAGACAAATCAAGAGCGGCAAAGCAACAGGATTAGACAACATTTCAGCAGACGCGATGAAAGCAGACGTTGCGGCAACTGCAAAAATACTTCACATTCTCTTCAACAAGATTTGGGATGAAGAACAATTACCATCAGACTGGAAAGACGGATACCTGATCACAATGCCAAAGAAAGGCGATCTCAGCAAGTGTGATAACTACAGAAGCATCACTCTTCTCTCAATACCAGGCAGTCTTCAACAGAGTGGATTTCGTAAGAATCGATCGTGTTTTGACCAAATTATAACGTTACGGATCATTGTGAAACAATCAATTGAATGGAACTCACCACTCTAAATCAACTTAATTGATTGCGTGAAAGCATTGAAAAGCGTGGACAGGACAATACTATGGAGGCTTCTTTGACATTACAGCATGCCTGAGAAGAAAGTCAACATCATATGGAATTCCTGTGATGGATTCAACTGCAAAATTGTGCATGGCTTACACCTGATAAACTCTATTGAGGTGAAGAACGGTATCGGAGAAGGTTGCTTACTCTCACCCTTTCTCTTTCTCCTGATGATAGACTGGATTATGAAGACATCAGCATCTTGAGGGAAGCACGGTATCCAGTGGACAGCTAGGACGCAGCTGGACGATCTGGACTTCGCAGATGACCTGGCTCTTCTATCGCACACGCACCAGCTTCATTAGCAACAGCTCTGAACATACATTAAGGGAAAAGCAAGACTCTCCGATACAACACAATATGCGTCAGCCAAATCACTCTTGGTGGAGATGCCTTGGAGGACATTAACACCTTTACATATCTGGGCAGCACCATCGACAACTAAGGTGGATCCGATGCAGATGTGAGGGCGCGGATCGGTAAAGCAAGGGCTGCATTTCTACAGTTGAAAAATATCTGCAACTCCAAACAACTTTCAACCAAAACCAAAATCAGGATATTCAATACAAATGCCAAGACAGTTCTACTGTATGGAGCGGAAACTTGAAGAACTACGAAAGGCATCATCCAGAAGATACAAGTGTTTATTTACAGTTGTCTACGCAAAATACCTCGTATTCGTTGGCCAGACACGATCAACTTTTACATACTGTGGGCGAGAACAAACCAAATTCCAGTGGAGGAGGAAATCAGGAAGAAGTGGTGGAAGTGGATAGGACATACACTACGAAGAGCACCTAACTGCGTCACAAGACAAGCCCTCACATGGGACCCTCAAGGCAAAAGTAAAAGAGGAAGGCCAAAGAACGCACTACGCCGAGAAATAGAGAAAGACATGAGAAGAATTAACGAAAATTGGACAGAACTGGAGAGGGAAGCCCAGGACAGAGTTGGTTGGAGAAAACTGGTCGGAGACCAATAATCCACTGGGGGTAACAGGGATAAGTAAGTAAGTAAATTCTCATGCATATTTTTGCCTCCTGTGTTAAACCCAATTGAGTTCTGGAAAGTAATTCTGGCTTATTTCGTTAAAACTTCCGTCATAACAATGGACCCCATCATTTTGGATGTCTGTCATCATAAAATATGGGAAAAAAACAATCCTCCTAAATTTGGAGTATATAATGTAAGAGTAACGTCTTTTTTAATTACATTTACAAATAATCCTTGTTTATCAGCCTTTTTAAAGTCACGAAGTTCTAGAAACGGTCAAGTTACACATAATGTGGATCGGTAAATAAACAGGTTTCTTACGACTGCAGTATTCGTTATTGTGCCATTAGAAACTAAATATTACCCTTCAAGCCTAAAGGCTTCTTTACGACAATAAATGATTTACATAAGGTGTCATTAACTAGCGAAACTAAAACACTCTCTAAGGTCTATACACAACTTTATAGTTTGATATCCGTACAAACGAGTATAAACTTGAACAAAAACTGATCAAAGTTGTTAGGCCCTTTTAAGTTTTGAATGAGTGTTTTCATACTTTAAAAAAACAAAATTAGAGAGGCCCTGATATGATCTTGGTTGATTTGCGTTTATGTGATGAGTAACTCATTCACACAATTAGTGTTCGACATATAATGCTCATTCAGTTGACTAGTAGTTTTGCCTTCTAAAATGCTTCCTATTCGGATACGATGGTTGATTTTGTAAACAAATTATTTGTCTAACCACCTTAATTACAATTAGTATTATATGCAAACTACCATTAAGAAAATCAAAGTTCTGTGGTGAAAATATGACAATCAATCTATCTTGAAATTTGGATGCGTTCTTACTTCTCTCATGGCAGTATGTTTCTTGAGAAAGCCAACTTTCATCATCGCATGAACTATGAAATTGTAACCCAGTATTTAGGTTTGATCCATTCTTGTTTCCAAAGTTGCTGCATGAATCGTCTTTAATTTTGTTGGCTTTAATGAATTTATCATCTTTACCTTCAAATAAACTATGAAAAGCTGAGTCATTTAGGTTTGTAGAACCCTCTGGAGTAAGGAGGTTTTTGCTTGCCATTATGCATTCCGGAACATTATCCTTTGTGTAGAACATTTTGCAAGCGTCACAAAGTCTGGAAAAAATAGTTTTTTAATTCTCTGATTACTGTTTTTATACCTTGGACGAGACTTAGGTCCTTTAGGAATATTTGAATCAGACGTCTTTAGATAGGATCGAGTAGCTCCTCCATGATGCGGAAGTCTATTTCGGCTCCAAACAGGATGAGATGGAAAAATACTCATTAGCTTCATCAGAGTGAATAAGAGAGCTGAACGTACTTCTTTGCAACATCGATAACTAACCACAGCTCGATAATTCATCCTAGCCCATAAAGCCTCTTTTTGTCGAGAAAAGACAGACATTTTGTGGTGCCAAAATGACCCAAGAGCCCAAGGAAAGATTTCATATTTATAGTCCTCATCATCTTCTTCTATATCGTGCACAAGATATCTAAATCAGAAAATCAGGAAAGATGTCATACTCACAAGCAGCAAAAAAAATTCATTTTATTATATTCTTCGGCTGACAGATTACATCTTTTGAAGTAAGCGAAAACACAAGCGATCGCGAACTAACATATGGAATTAAAGTTCTCTGAACTTACATTATCTGCATATTTAAAGCACATATCAAAAGCAAGAAACTTTTTGATCGTGGCATCCTCTTTGGATTCAAGTAAATTAGCAAGAAAAATGCCATACCCAACAAATGGAAGAACGCTATCATCTCTGTTTCTTTAACCACATAGGCATTCAAAATATTTTCTCGTAATTTTCGGATAGATGGAACGAAAACATAAGGACTATGAGAAACATGACAAGAGCCAGAAGACTGAACGATCTGAGATTTATTAGAAAAAAGAGTTGGCCTGCAATTCTTTCGCCTTTTGACTGAAACCATGTCATCTCCAAGTCTCTTGATTGGAACGTGCTGAGTGCTTATGCTATCAAACCATAGGATAGACATACGATAAGCTAAACGCGAGAACTAAACGTTTATTCACAATCAACCCTTGAACTATACACTAGATCGGTTGCTCGTGATGCAGAAAAACAAACATATTGAAAGAGGATAAACATCAAAACTGAAGTCGATATTTAATCCAGTTATCTATGTTGTATTTTGACAGCTTATTTGAATTTTTAAGATCATGAAAAGTGAAACCAGCTACTTAGGACGCCTGTCTAGCTTCAGCTGGTTGTCAGTTCCCTAAGATGAAGATCTAAATGTGTGATAAGGCTAGGGTTTTTCTTTCAAAATATTTTGGGGTGGACATTATTAGTGACTGATTTTAGGAGAAGATTTATCATTACTTGTATGACATTGATAATGTTCAGTTATTGTGATTGCCCTATCATAGGTTTTTCTAACAGTGAACAAGACAAAATTATATGGAATAGATCAGGATACAGTCAGAAATGCAAATAAAATTCCAAGGACTTTGTAGTTGCTGACTCTTAGTCTTTACAATCCTGTTTATTTACTCTACACATTATTGATTGTACGTTCGATTTTAACACTCGTTTATATAACAGACTTCTCCAGCCGCTTGTAGTTATATGTGGCATTCAACCTTAATATTGCACTGACACTGAATTCTCCACAGATATCGTTCAGCCAGAAAGCGCTTTTTAAAAAAGACATACTGAAAGAGCTATCTCACCCTGCTGAGCGTCGGTTTGAGTTTATGGTGTTAGTGGTAACAGATTATTGTACCGAGCCGTACCCTATGCTGACTTATCTTCGTTCTCTGTTTAACAAACCATCCACCTATGCCCGCCAGATCTGAGAATTCCTTTACTGACTGAATGCTTACCAACTGCATCGAACAGAAAGATAATTATTTCATTTTCTCCTGACATCGATGCAGAACAATTACTCAATATAATCGCAGAGAATACGGGAACTAAAAGTAGCCACACCTTACCAACCTGAATCGAAACCTATACTTTGCAAAATACCTTTAACCCAAAAAGTGATTATGAGTGCATAGTTTTATTATGAAAACCACTATAAATTTAACAGTGGTAGCTTAGGAAACCAATTAGTTAGACAGAATGATTCTCTCGATCATTGTAATTCGAATAAATAGACCTTCGAATGTAAGGTACTCTCAAGGTGACTATTAGCATATTTACAACTGTTCATGACCCCATACCAACCACTGCCTGAGAAAATATGTGCTGGAGTATGGAAACTACCTATGGTCGATCCAAATATTGTGACACAAACTGTTCGACTTATGGCAAGACTTGTGTTGAATAGAGACACTAGTCAGTTGTCGAATTAAGGCAAAGAACCTAAGATGGAAAGAAAACTGGGCAGTGGACTAATTTGGATTCCATGGTGTCATAGAATCTACGAGCTGTTCATACAGAAGTCAGGTATAGCCAGTATGCATCAGATAGACCGTAATCCTCATCATTTGTAGACATTTTCGTCATGAGGGATGCGAAATGAGGAGTGTATTGCCAGCAAAGATGGTGAAACAACTCATTTATCCTTTCGAAAAGAGTTGTAGTTTGTTTCACTTTCAGTAAAGTCAAAGAAGGATTTTCCGGCTCAAGAGTTGTTAAAAATCCTCATGACCGGTCTGATTTATGCGCAAATTTTCAAGTCTCTGCAATTTATGTAATCTATGCTGGGTAACGTACATTGTTTTCTGGTTACTTTCTTTGGTTTACTAACGTCACTGCATTTAAATCTGGTTAGGTTTCAAAACGTTTGCTATCAATACCATGATTTTTATGTTTTGTGGATTAGAAATGATCGTTTAGTGGTGACCAAGTCTAGATTTACTATGATCACCACTAAATACTAATTACTATCCCGTCACGATAATAAAAAGTAAATCCATGGCAAAGAATATATTTGAAGGAGAAAGAGGACGATACAGTGAACAGCCAGTTATGAATGATGGTAGCAACGCATGAAAGGTCGCGCATAAGTATTTTTAATACAGTTAAACAAACGAGTACAATAATAAATTTTTTCTTTTTATTAATTGTGTTTCATTCTTAGAAGTGTTCCATTACAATCTAATGAAATATTACTAATACCAATATCTCTGGAACTTTGACAACATACATGCAAGAACTGGGATTTGAATTATGCAGCATGAAATTGTTTTGTATTGTCACATCAGATTTAAGCACAACATAACTTATTTATTGTACCGTAGGTGTATTGGTAATTCGCCAAGCTTTGCACTTTTAGTGCTGAGAGATACCAGATTGTCTATGATCACCACTAAATGTTCCATACTATCCCGTCACATATATCAAAATAAATCCATGTTTCAATATTTTATTGAAGGAGAAAGTATGCATTACATGGGAGCAGCGCGTTTAGAAAAATGGCAGCAACGCGAAGAGAACGTTGCGCGCAAGAAGTGTTGCTTGGTACAGTTCAACAAAACGAGTATAATAATGTTTATTTTTCACAACTCGTATTTTCTTCGTAGAAGCGTTCCACTACACACTTATTTTAACTATGGAGACAATCTGTTTTAAAATGTCAAATTACGAATGTATCAGTTACCTCAACAACTGCTCTATAAAAATCCTGTTTTAAACTCCTGAGGAGGTTGGAGTATGAAATTCGGCGTAACAAACTGTCACTTACTACTAAATAAGAACTGCTGAATGAATGATGGTACAAGAAATCCATTATTCAACAGTCACAGCACCTTTATTCACTAGTCTAAAGAATATTGACTACAGATAGAAATAATACGACTACGTATCAGGTCTAATTACCTTAGATATTCATACCGATTCTGAGATCCAAGGACGAGTAGTGTGTTATGGCGGGCACTTAAAGAAGATTAACTATCTGCTAAAACTGTTTTTTCTGCTTAAGATTCATTATTTTTGGTTGTATACAAAGTAAGCATTTTATTCTTATTATTGTGACGTTGCTCTTATCCTATACTCTTGTTTGAGGCATTAACTGTTGTTATATCATTTCTCATTTATGAACTATAGTTAATTGACTGCCATGCGTTACCCCAGTTCACACTCACTATTACTGTTATTTTGTATTGATGTCAGTTTTCTAATTGGTTTACGATGCAGTCTGGTTTTGCATGTATATAAAGGCATGATTGAAATAATAAACGATCTGATCTGATCTGATCTGTCTCATAGTCGTTGTTTTTCCTCTATTCCGTGGGGCTGGTAATTGAGAGGCTGACGTGTCTGTACAGTGATTAGCGATCATCAAGGTCATTGTATATATTGCACAAACACAACAAATTGGCGACGGGTTTTGAAGTGGATCCAACCTACGCAGTCATTGGTCATTAATTCTGCTACAATTTATTAGCCAATCAGCACTAAGGATCGCATTCAGTGTCATAAAGCGGATTTAAAAAAAAAAAAAAAAAAAATCAATATGACTATCACATTTGAGCAAATGAAATTATGTCTACAGCAGCAACAACAGCAATTCCTAGCCTCTCAAGAACAAATGCTGGAGTCATTAATGTCAAAAATTGCTATCCAGTCCAGAGTAACTCCTGAAGAAAAAGGAATAGAGTTATCACTCAGTTCAGTTCCAGAATTTATTTTTGATGCAGAGAATGGCCATACATTTGAATCATGGTTCGGTAGAATAGAAGATCTTTTTCAAGTGGAATATAAACATATAGATGACGCGAAGAAGGTGCGTTTATTAACACAAAAACTTGGTCAGCATGAATATTCTAAATACAAGAATTATATCCTCCCACGACATCCAAGAGATCTGACATTTAATGAAACTATTGACATTTTAAATGCAATATTCTGTGAACCAGCATCTTTATTTCATATTCGTTATAAATGCCTTCAATTGACGAAAGATGCAGATGAGGATTATTTGTCTTATGCAAGCAGAATTAATCTACAAGCTGAACGTTTTAAATTAAACGCATTGTCAAATGATCAGTTTAAATGTTTACTATTTGTTTCTGGACTCCAGTCACCAGCAGATGCTGATGTTCGAACAAGATTGCTATCACGCATTGAGCAAAACGATGACATGACACTACAGATGGTAACGTCAGAATGTCAACGACTGGTCAACCTCAAAAATGATACGAAGCTTGTAGAGACCAAAGGTAATGCTTCACTAAATTGCAATATCCATGCTGTCAAATCCAACAAAAGTAAGAGTGTTCCAATGAATGATCAACGTCAAACTAAATTATTCAAACCGTCATCGAAGTGCTGGTTTTGTGGATCTTGGCATTTCGCGAGATTTTGCCATTATAAACGTCATAAGTGCAACATTTGCTATAAAGTTGGTCATAAAGAAACAGTCTGCCGACAACAGAATTATTTGAAATCTGGACGACGCATAAAGTTTCCCCGGAATCATAAGAGTTCCATACGTAGTATATATTCGACATTCACATGTAATCTCGCTGACAAAAGAAGATATGTAGATCTATTGGTTAATGATGTTCAGATTCGTTTGCAAGTGGATACAGCATCTGATATCACACTTATTTCTAAGAAAACTTGGGAATTGATGGGTTGCCCCCCATTACTGCCTACTGAACATACAGCGCGTAATGCATCTGGAGATATTCTAAAACTCGTTGGGATGATAAATTGTGCTGTTAAGTTCGGAGTACATTCTTTTACTGGAACTTGTTATTTAACAAACAGACATGATTTAGATCTTATTGGTATTGATTGGATTGACAAATTAAATCTTTGGAAGGTGCCACTAGACGCAGTGTGTACATTGAAAGATCCACATATTCCTAAAAATCTACCTGTATTAAATGTTACATCAAACAACAACGTCTTGACTACAGCTCATCTTTTTGAAAAGCATTCGAATGTATTTCAAGATACTTTGGGATGTTGCAATATTGGTAAAGCCAAATTATATTTACGTCAAGGAGCTACACCAGTTTTTCGTCCAAAACGGCAGGTACCCTACGCCTCTATCGATAGAGTTGATAAAGAACTTGACCGATTAGAAAAGCTTGGGGTTATACAACCTATTACTTTCTCATCATGGGCAGCTCC